CCCCCCCGAGGGAGACAGAGAGAGGCGGAGAGATCGAGAAACAAGAGAAAGAGAGAGAGAGAGGACCGGAGAAAAGAATAGACGGCGGGTAGAAACAGAAACGGTGAGGGAGGGAGAGAGAGAGAGAGAGGGAGAGAGCAAGAGAGAGAGAGAGAGAACGCGAAACAAACATCACAAACAAATAAGATTCAGCCGAGTCGAACGAGTCAACGGCTTCCACCGATTCCCGCCCTCTCTGGCATAACGTAATGTTAGCCTGCGTGGGACCCAAAACACTGGTTTCTAACAGTCTACGTCGTGAGTTATACGTGGTGTAAGCTATGCGATGCAACCTATGTGGCGCAGTGCGTTTGGCAAGATTGAAGTTGTCAACTCCACCGCTCGCGCAACGATCGCACCGACCCAAATTCAATCTGGTTGATAAATACACATGCGGCGGCGATTGCGATTACTGTTCGGCGCTGGCTGGCGCATCGCTGCGGCCGCGCTAGCGTGGGCACGCGCGCGCAGAGCGGCCATCTGGTTTGGCGCGACCCACGCGGCCGCGATGGCGCTGACGTCGACAGCGGCAGACACGATGATGACGATGATGCTGACGATAGTAACGATGCTGGTGACCATGACAATGACGGCAACACGACCAATGACGGCGGTAATGCTGATCACGCCGATGACGATGGTGGTGTCCACGTGTTGGTGACGCAGGATTTGGGAGGATTTCGGCCTGCGCGCGCGGCTGACGCGGGCGAGTGGCCCGCATGAAATGATTTGACAGGGTCGTGCCCACAGCACGCGCGCAAAACGCGTTCGATTGACTTCGACATGCGGTCGCGGGAAGCCCGCTTGGTCGCATTTGATGGGGATGTCGAACGAGCCATCCGGTTCCCACAAATTGTAATAAAACGCGCATATGGATTTCGAGCACTGTTGCCAGCAGTGATCCGAGAAGGCTGCTGCAGTTGCATAGACGAATGCGCGCGCATCATGTTATTGACAGGGATGAATGGGGGAGCGATGGCAGGTCCATTCCAGATGGTGCGAATTAATATCGAAAACGGACGATGTGGCAGCAAAGAATGCAATTAGATCGTCCCACGTGGGGTCGATACTTCCGGGGGGGGTAGGTCCGAAGTTCTTTGTATGGAGGAACTTGCGAAGCGTGAAAAATGCAGCGCTATCTGCGTGATGCAACGCGCGTGGCACATTCTACGCGTGCAATTGGTTTGTTGTTTTCTTCAAATGCCTTAGAATTGACATCCCCACTGCTCGCGCAATCGCCCCACCGACCCAAACGCAATGGGGCTGGCAAAACCCATGCGGCGGCAATTGCGATGGCTGCTCCGCGCTGGCTGGCGCATTTCTGCTGTGCGTTGGCTCGCGCAGGCCCACGTGCAGAGCGGAGAACTAGCTTTGCGCGGCCGACGCGGCCGCGGCGGCGCTGACCGCAGGAAACGTCCCAACACGTCTCGGTACCACGCGGGCCACTTTCGCGCGTCGGCCGCTCGCGCATGCCGAACTCATTCCAAAACCTCCATCGCCGATGCGAGGGCGCCGTCATCGTCGTCGGCGTGATCAACATCGGCGCCGTCACTGGCCGTGCCGCCGCCTCCCTCTGTCGTCATCGTCACCAGCGCCGCTACTAGCATCATCGTGTCTACCGTTGTCGATGTTGCCATGATCCCGCGCCCGCCCAAGTGGCCGACTCGCACTGAAACACCCGCGAAAAATTGCCCTGAGGTCAGGGCCACCGCGGCCACGTCGGTCGCGCCACATTACCTGGCCGCTGCGCGCGCGAGCATTCGCGGGCTAGCGCGGCCGCAAGGATGCACCTGCCAACACAAAGCACTCATCGCAATCGCCGCCGCATGTGTTTTGCAAACGACGTAGCGTTTGGGTGAGTGGGATGACTGCGCGAGCAGTGGAGCTGACCACTGCGAGTTCCGCAAGTGAGCTGCATCCCATGTGTTGCAGAACGTCGATTGCAAAACATAGATTGCACAATCACCACATAGTTCCCTATTCTCTTTCAAACTCGGACACGTCGTCCTCTTGCATTTACCGTGCCCCCTCGGATAATGCAATTTGCATCTGCGATTGTGCGCCATCGTTCGCCCTTGAAAAAAATCAAGCCATCCCAGAGCATGCCACTATCGCTCCCGCCCCCGCACATCATCATAATCATCAAGAGCATCATCATTAGCATCACCATTGTCACCGTCAACATCGCAATCACCATCATCAGCATCCCCATCCCCACCACCAGCATCAACATCATTCGTTTATAACAAATCATGGAATTATCAACCGTCCCTCTTCAAAAACCCAGACACATGCCGAATCCGCAAGGCTTCCAACATCGGGGTTTTCGGAAACATAAAGGACAATATGGTTTTGCAGAACAGGATTCAAACAAAGATGCACGCACCCTCGTGAGCCGTTGGGGAAACCACTGGTCTTTCGACATGTCCATCATACTCGACCAAGCGGGCCTCTCACGTACGCAGTCGAATCATTTGAACACCTCTGCGTGCTTGCAGCGGGGGCACGGTTCCTAGAGAATAAATACTTGCGTGCCTCTCGCCCGCGTCGGCCGCGCGCGCATGTCGAAACCCTTTCCCAAAAAAATGTACTCATCACAGACACGTGGACACCACCATCGTCATCGGCGTGATCAGCATCGGCGACGCCATTGGCCTTGCCAGCATCATTGTCCTCATCGCCACCCCCATCGTTACTATCATCAGCGTGTCTGCCGTTGTTGCCGTCGCCATGATACAGCGCCCGCTCGAGTCACCCACTCGCGCTGGAATGCCCGCACGCCAGCGCGGCCTCTGACACGCGCTGGGAATGTTCCACTGGTCAGTGCCACCGCGGCCGCGTCGGTCGCGTCAACCTAGCTGGCGGCTCTGCGCTTGAGCTTGAGCGCGCTAGCTCGGCCGCAACGATGAGCCAACCAGCGCCAAGCAGTCATCGAAATCGCCACCGCATGGTATTTGTAAGGCATGTCGCGGGTGGGTGGGCGGGATGATTGCGCGAGCAGTGGAGTTGACAGCTTGAAGTTCGGCAAGGTGGCTTGCATTACAATTCGTGCACCACGTTGATTGCTCAATACACGTTGCTCCACATAGGTTCAACAACATAAATGACACAGCATATACTGCACAACATATATCGCAGCAAATATTGCACAACCTTTCTTGGACAAAATAGACGGCACCACCTGATTTGCAACACATGCATTGCATCGCATAAAAGGTTTACACGAATTGCACAACATATATTGCTAGAACACACTGTGTGGGGTCTCCACTGGCTAAAATGGTGCAATATATGTGGTGCAATCTACATGAAGCAATGTATACCTGGCGCCGACGAAGCGGCGACGGGGCGGTGACGCGACAACAAGGTGGCGGCCCCGGCAATGGGGCCCAGACGCCCAGCGGCGACGAGGCGGCGGTGGGGCAGCGACTGCAACAATAGGGCGGCGGACCCAGCACGGGAGCCCTGACGACGGGTGGCGACGAGGCGGCGACGGCGACAACAATGCGGCGGAGCCCGCAATGAAGCTCAGTTCCTTCGAGACGACATCAGAAACCCTAGGGGAAGCACTGTTTGGGGAGTAGCCCACAGCGGCGCATCTTGGCCTTGGGACTGGAACGCGTTCCCGCCTGCCGAACGGAAGGCGCTCGCGAGCGCTCCCGCTTCCGACGAGTTGGCGTAGGGAAAAAAGCGGCGAGTTGGCGTAGGAAAGAAAGCACGGGCCGCGCAGAGGCGAGAGCGGAACTTCAGGCAAGCCTTGCGCGGCACCGTGGCGAAAGCATCACCGTAGCCCTCTCCCGGGTGGCCAGGCTTCCGGGGAGGCGCGGCGGAGGCGAAGCGAGCGCCGCGCCCAAAGAGCACCGTCACTCTCACGCGCAGAGTGCGCGGCGCCTGGGCGGGGACGGCAATGCGCTCGCTCTCGCTGCGGTCCCTCGATCGCTGCCGTTGTGACGCGATTCGACGAGCGAGGCAGGCGCCGCGCCCACGCGGGAAAGCCACCTCCAGTCGGAGTGTGCACGGAGCGTGGGCGTCAAGTCGCAAGTCGCCTGTTCGCGCGCGGCCCCGCCCCCAACGGCTCTTCGAGTGAATCATACGCGTCGCGCCGATGCGGGAGCGCCGCGTTCAGACGAAATCTGCGCGGCACCGTGGCGACAACGACATCTTCGTTTTCTGGCACGTCGACATCCAATTGGCGAGGAAAAAAACAATCGCACCTCCCCCAGCAGGAGCTGAGCTCTCAGGAAAATCGCAAGAGAACTATTCGCCTTCTCGGGCATGACGGGCCCCGTCCCTTTCCCGCCACGCATTTTGCACCGTCGACGCCAAAACGTCCTCTCCGAAAGGAAAAGCGTCGACTTTGTAGTTTTTTGGATCGGTAGGAGTGAACCGCCTGGATGCGGCCCCTAATTATCCACTGGCAAGGTGGCCCAGCATGAGCATCTACAAACAAAAAGAACGAGCATACGAGTAATGTAAAGAGAGAAAGAGAAGGGAAGAAAGGGAGAGGGAGATGACCAAGACCAGGCGAGTTTCATCACCGCGCCGCAGAGACTGGAAGTGCGGATGCACCCCGACGCCGGCACCGCGCCGCCTGCCCAGTGCGGTGGGAGGCAACGAGCGATGGCGAGCAGATGGTGGCCGGCACCAAGGGGCCTAGGCGAGCCGCCAGTACCAGCAACTGGGCCGGTGCGCAGAAGCTGCGCCCGCCCAGGAGACTTCCAAAGGACCTCGGCGATCGGACTCGGGACGCTCCGGCGAAGTCTTAGGTCGGAGCGCCCGCGGCGAGGAGAGCAGCGAAGAGCAGCGAGAACTCAGAGCGCGTGCGCGCGGGAAGGAACGATCGATGTCGGTGGCGCTCGGGAGAACGAAGGCGGGAGGCACTAAAGGGTAGCAGGAGAGAACGCAACCATCCGACAGTCGACCCGGCGCCGGAGGGAAACGCGAAGGAGCGAGATCAGAATATGTGCCTCGAGGGCTCCACGAGCGCAACGCCATTGCACGCGCATCGACCTTCTGCCTCGGGCGGCGGTGCAATCGGCGTCCCCCAGGGGGGGAGGTCCCTCTGGGAAGAGGAGGAAGAGGAGGAGAAGGAGGAGGAGGAGGAAGAGGAGGAGGAGGAAGAGGAGGAGGAAGGTCGAGAATCGAGGATCGAATGGCCGATCCTCGAACCCTTGATCCTCGACTCACGCTCCTCGATCCCAGTTTGGGGCCCTGGATCCGGCTGGCGCGCTCGGCCGAACAAAAACAGCCCCAGCGTCCCGAAAGTGGTGGGAGGCGGCCAACAATTGCGCTGGCGCCCACATGCGGTCGAGAGTTTTTGCTTGGCGCGTCGCGGCGGCGGCCCCAGCGACACGCTATGCGGTGCAAGCGGATAGCGTGTCGCTCCGCTCGGTGGCGCGGGAGGCTGGGAAATGCTCGGGACGTTGGCCTCTGGAAGTCGGGACGTGGATCGTGTGTCGCGACGAAGCGTGGTGGGCCAGAACTGGCGGATCGACGCGCTTGGCCAAAGTTCCTAACGGTATACGCCAGGCTCCTGCCTAGACAGCGAGGGCCATGGTCTCTGACACCGCTCGGATCCTTCGATCTTCAACGATATCCGCTCTTGGAGGCGGGCGGACAAACATTAAGAGTGGACTTGCTAAGGGGTGGGGAGGAGATCGCGTTAGAATAAGCGATACATCGCCGATTAATCGACGATGTGCCCCCGGTGGCAAAAACGCACGTTCATGCGTGGGGTGGGCTATCAGGTTGCGACGACCAATGGTCGATCGGGAGTCGCAGCGGTGGTGATGGGGCTTGGAGCGAAGGCCCTTCCGCCTTTAAAAGCGTCCCCAGCACCGGCGCACAGTCGGCCCTCTTGAAGACACGGCGCGGGAAGCTGAGCTGCCTGTGTGGACGTCGAGGTTGAAGGCAAACACGAAGGCCTAGATGCCCACGCCATGGAGCTGCTCGGGAGACTGCGCACCAACCCTGTGAAACTTCGTTGGTGGAGCATCCACGCGGGAGTCGCAGTCCAGATTGGGCCCAAGGAACTGAGTTGGTCAGTGTCCTTGCAGAAGTAAGCGGGATCATCCACAACCAGTTCCACCAGCTTGTCCCCGACCTGCGCGTTTCCATTCGGCGGCGCGTTACTTGCCGTGGTTGCGCGTGGCGCGTGGTTGCTGCATCTTGGGCTTCCTCAAGTCCAGGCATGTGGAATCAGCAATATTCGCGTCCCCTGCGACCACCGCAAGTCCGCAAGTCGCGTGGAATGATATGCTCAGCTACACAGAACACCAGCACGGAGTCGTCGAAGAATGGCGAGCGTCTGTCGAGCGGAGAGGTCGTGATTGCGGACGCTCTGGTGCCTCAACTCGCAGTCGTCGACAGCCGCTCGCTCCCGCAGAACTCGCCCTCGCGCCAATGCCACCCCAGTGGCGGAAGCCCGTGCCGCCGCCAAGAGTGGGGGAACAGCTGCGGCGCCTCCCTTCTGCCGATCAGCGCGCTCAGAGAAGGACGAGCTGAAGACCGTGGCAGATCTCGAAATGCTGCTGTGTCTGGTGAACTTCTTGAACGGCCAAGAACGCCCCGGCGATGTCCATGGATCGCAGGTAATCGGTTTTCTCGAATGCCGCGCGGCCTTCCCATGGAAGCAGCATCCGTGCAGTCGACGTGCCAAGAATGATCATGGTCGCCGAAGGGCGCGGCGCCGCTGAGCCAGGATACACTTCACGTTGAAAGACCCGAAACCGATCAAAGGCTCCACTCTGGTAAGGCGTCGGGGCAAGCGATCGACTGGATGCGGTCGTGGATCTGGTCGCTCTTGTAGCACTTCTCGTCGGGCCCTGTCTGCTTCAAGAAGACAGGGGCTGGGTCTCTGCCAGGACATGGCTGGAGTCAACGTAATGGCGTCGAGCTCTCACAGACCCACCCGTTGCTCCTGTCGAAGATGAACTTGCCACTGAGGTAGGTGTCGCGGAATCGGGCCATCACGCGCTCCCCTAGGATCTCCATCCTGATCTGGCACGGCGACTTGTCGGGGCCCACGTGGAGTTGCGTCGAGGGGCCTGCCACCGAGGGAACAGGGAACCTGACCCTGCAGTCCTTGCCTCGGAACGCCCAAAATCTTTTGGACCAGCCGCGCAGCAATGCCAGCAGCGCCAGTGACTTGCATCGCGCACAGTTTGGCTTGAGGCTCGGACTCGATGCGGTAGGCGCCTGGGAGGTCCGCACCCTTGAGCCACGCGTCGAGGGCGACAGAGGCCGCTTCACCGCCCACGAGTGCCAACGCCGTGACCTTGAGGATGGTGGCGTCGTCGATGTCCCGCTTGAAGGACCGATCCGCTGGCTTCGGCTGAGGAGGTACTCTGTTCGCGAGGGCCAGTTCCTTCCGCAGCTCGTCCATCTGGATCTGCATGTCAGCGAGTTGCCCGCTGTGCTCGCCGAGGAGGCGGTCGCGGCGCTCCAGCTGTTCTCCCACATTGCCGGGCTGCTCCTGGAAACGCTGCTCACAGTTGCCGAGGTCGGGGCAGACCTTGGAGGCAGCGGCGGCGGCGGCAGCTTGGTCAGGGGCTGTTCGGACAACGTCAGCCAGGCGTCGTACGGCTTCTCCGATTGGGTCCACAGCGGCCTTGGTAATAGCAGCGGCCGTCGAGGTGAAGCTGGCCTGGATATCATCCTTGACCAGGTTGAACTGTTCCTTGAACTGGATGCGGACAAGCTCGCGGACGTGATCGTCGTACCACGCCCCTTGTTCGGGATCAGCTTCTCCATCCGCGTGGGATGCGAAACTGCCATCTCCGCGCCCAAACCGAGACCACTCGGCATCGGCGATGTCGGCTGCTGCAGCATCATCACCATCATCGCCTGGCCGAAGACCAGCACAAGGCTTGGAACCGCCACCTCTGCGCTTGAGTTTGCGCTTCCCACCAGACGCGGACGCCATTGCTGGCGCGGGCGGCACGGCGGCGCGGGGGTCGGCGCGTGCCCGCGAACATCTAACCGCGATGACAACGGCATACGCTTCGGCACGGAAGCGCAGAGCCCCCGTGTCGAAGCCATGTTGACCCCAAGTGGCTACGGACGGAGGAGAAAGAGGAGGAGGAGGAGGAGGAGGAGACGGAGGAGGAGGAGGAGGAGGAGGAGGAGGAGGAAAGGAGGGGGAGGAGGACGAAGGAGGAGGAGGAGGAGGAGGAGGAGGAGGAGGAAGGGCGAAGAGGGAGGCGAAGGAGGAGAGGCAGGGGAAGGATGAGGAGGAGGACGACAACGAGGAGAAGCATGAGCATCGAAGGGGGAAGAAGAAATGGTTCAGGGCGGCGACCATGACTTCAGGACGCCTCCGAAGCCCCATCGCTCCGTTCTCTCACCCTTCCGAGGGGCTCGTCCGCGCGCTCTCCGAGCAGAACCTGCCCTTCGGAACTTCTCGGAGAGGTCTACAAGACCCCCGTTCCTCTTCCTTCTCCTCCGCATCTTCCTCCTCCTCACCCCCCACCTCCTCCTCCTCCTCCTCCTCCTCCTCCTCCTCCTCCTCCTCCTCCCCCTCCTCCCCCTCCTCACCCTCCTTCCTCCTCCTCCTCCTCCTCCTCCTCCTCTTCATCCTCCTCGGAATCGGAATCGGAATCGGAATCGGAATCGGAATCGGGGTACCAAGGCGTGTGACGCGGCTGCCTATCTACGCACGATGGGACAAGGTGGGAAGGGGGAAAGAGAGGAGGGGCGCCAGGCCCACGACCTCGTCCTGTCGGGCTCCCTCCAGGTCTCCTCAGGAGGGCCACGGACGCAATAGCTAAGGGCGTCAGACAGACAAGAGTGGACAGGAGGGAGCAACTGCAGCAACAAGAATTTCTCACGCGTGCTGCCTCCTTCGTGGAATCCTCCAGTAGAGCATAACATCAGCCTGGCTCCTGAAGTGGAGCCTGTCACAGTGTCTGGTTTGACTAGATCCTTCCGTGTGCCCAAGCTGAAACGAGAGACAGGGGAGGGAGCAAGACCCTCGAAAACACATGCCACTCCTCTAACATCAGCGGCGGCATGCAACACTCCGGCGGCCGTGTGCAACTGGTTCCCGTCTCCCAGGACCCGGGCTTCGGTGGTTGAGAGATCCCTCCTCCCCCAAGGTGGCGAACTTGAGCGAAGCGGGCGCATTATGCCTCTGGGTCTCGCGGATCCGAGGCAAGAAGAGTCTGCCCAAGAGGGGCCCCCCGCGACCCAGATGAGGTCGAGGGCTCCTCCCAGGGCCAAAGGCACAGCATCCGACTTCAACTTACAAAAGGGAACATCCAACACGGTGCAGCCCCTCAGGGTGGCCAGCATGGAAAGGCTATCCGCGGCAGGACTCTGCCCGAGCACGAGAACCCAATGTTTTGCGTCTCCAGGGCACTCTGGAATCGCATGGGACGGCGCACAGGAGCACGAGAACAGGGATGCATCAAAACAGCGGGGTATTCAACCGAAGCCACCTATTCTTGTTGGACAGGCACGCGATGAGCTGGCCCAAACACTTTCCTTTCAACCTCCGAGGCATGATTGTCAGGCAATCATTTATTCCTATTCTCCGCCTGCGTCGACGGGGCAAGCTGGCGCCAATTTCAACCTCCCCCTCCCAGCGCAGATCCCAAACTGCAACCATCAATTCCTGCAGCGCGGGGCACTGTGGAGATGGGCGACCACCCTGTTGGGCTGAACAAAATGTTTAAGGCAGGATTGGCAAGTGGCCCCATAGGCCCAAGCTTCCACCGTCTCATCTTCTTTATGTTCACGGTTCACACGCATGACCATCCTCCTCTTATGCTCCGTGACAACAAAAAACACTCGTGGCGAGCAAAGTGAGGGACCAAGTCTTCGGCAACATCGGAACCTTGTTGGCTAATTGCCCATGGTGAACCCAAGAAGACAGCCTCCGTTGGCTTGGCACATTCCCTTCCCTCCTCCTCCTCCTGGCGCTGCCAAAAAAGGGCGCGAACGGCAGCGTTCCTGACGTGGGTGCGAGAGGACCTGGGCCTAAGACGGCACATCTCGATCCAACGCGCTAGGGCTCCCTGTCCAGGAATCCCCGTGGTCTTGCTGAAACGGTCAGGCCACAGAAAATCTTGGCTCAGCATCGCAGGCCAGTCTTCACCATTGGAGAGAAGGAAGTCTAAAGCCGTTAAGAGACCTGACGGAGCACGCGCCATAAACCTGAAAGGGTACTTTAACCGCGCAACCTGCATACCTTGCCCAACGCCCAGCCGATTTGCCACGTGCAACAGCCTCAGAATGAGTGACATGAACCACCCCGTGGTTGCCCAGAGACATCCCAAGAGTCCCCCTATACAGAGAGACCCGAGTATCCCGTAACTTCCCATGGCCCGACTCGACAGCGACGACCACACTGCAAGATGACAATGCATGGGGGATAACGCATGCGCTTCACCACATTGTACTCTTCACACACAAGAATGGCCTCACAAACCCCAAGGGCTCTTTGAATGGGCCGTGTTTCAGCTCGCGCACGAGCCGCCCCGCCAGCAACTCCGGCGTCAAACGAGCCCTCGTCACTAAGGAGAGTCCCAGGACACTCCGCGGTCCGTCTAACGCTAATGGCATCTCCCGAGGGGGGGGGCACCGTGGCCCCACGGGCCCACACTATTTTCTCAATGCTCTTGACGCCAGGTCCTGCGGGGCGGAGCAGAAAGAAAGTGTCGCTTCGCTCGCAATGAGTCGAAGGCCAGCCTCAAATGCCGCGCGCTCAACTATGACAGCAGCCGCGGCAGCGCACTCCTGCACGGGCGCGGGGGAAGGCGAGGTACCAACTATCGTTGCATCGCCCACGGAAGCCCCAATGTCTTGTGGATCATCGCGATCGCTATCCTTAGCAAAGACACGAGGTATGTCCGCTGGCGGCCTCCCACCCAGAGGCTCTTCGAGAATCAGACTCTGAAATTTCGCCAGAATGGGGGCGAAACCGATGTTGAAAGCGCCCGCGGCCGTGACGGTGCCAGGCTTGCAGCCCAGCGTGGGCCGCATGAAACCTTCGGCCCCGCGAAACACCCAAAATCCCAAGGACTGAGTTTCAGTAAACAGGGCATACAGGCGCCGGTCGGAGACAAGGGAATCAACGACTGGGGCGGAGGCGAGGCTCCGCGCAGCAAACTCTAGTGCTGGGTGCACGGTGAGGCTGGCCATCGCCTTCTGATAATGAGCCTCCTCGGCAGGAAGACATCGCGGCCTGCCTTACCGCGGCGTCAAAGGCTGCCTTGAGGTCCACGCGCGAAGCGGAAGCCGAAGTCTGGCCAGCAGACTGGGCGCACAGTCGGGTGGCCGCAAAGTGCGCGGCGAAATCCGTACTCCTTCCCTTGCACCTCCACAGTGGGAATCTTACAAGCCCGCCGCAGTGGCTGCGTTGAGGAGACCACGCAGGAACCGATGGCGCAGTTTGCACGTAACATTGCCTAGGAGGACACTGCGCCGACCGGAGGCAAACGCAGCTTGAGGTTGACCTTTCGATATGTCTATCACCTCACCTTCTTTGAAAAGCAGCGGCTCCCTCCCCGCAAGCTCCACCTCAAGCAGAACGGGGTGGATAATCCTGGCACATGCCTCAGGGGCCGACTTGAGGATCTCGTAAGGGCCCCCTCCTGGTCCCGCGGCGCTGCCCGCGGGAATGGTCTCGATAAGCTTCTTAAGTTCGGGTATGGTAATGAGGTTGTCAACGCTCCGAGGGGCGCTGGCGTCCAGGGCAGCGCCCTGCTCGTAGCATCCACTGACCTCAATGGCTGAAAGGGGCAGCGCAAATTCAGTCTTACCGAAGCGCTTATGAAGGTCATTGGCGGCATCCTGAACAGTTTCTAGAACGTTGCCACCCGCGTCCTTGCGAAGGGGGAAAAAGGGCGACCTTTCTAGGCCTCTTGCCCCAAAGGGCCAGCAAGGACCGAGCCCTCTTCCATCCCAGCCGTGGCAACGACCCGTCGATGGCCATCTTTATCCCTTCCCCTTGCAAGGTAAGAAAGTCACATTCGTCTTGTTGAAGCCTGTCCTTCTGTGCCTGTGCCGAAATGGCAAAGAAACGGGCTAGCACCAGGGAGAAGTCAGCTGGCTCCACGCGCTTCCAGGTGAAGTCCTGGGCGGCAGTACGCAAGTGCACCCACGGCCCTAGCAGGCTCTGTGCAAGGGCAGATTCCTCCTCGTGGTGCAGCACTTCTTCAGCCTGCTCGACTACGTCTCCTGTCCGGATGCGCTGTGCACTAGAAAACAAACTGTTCACCTGGGAGCCAATGCCCAGTATCCTCACAAGATGAAGCAATTTGCGAACACTTTTTCGGATACGGACCAATGCAAACAAAGGGGCCGGCACGTAGGGCCACCTGGCCTTGACGGGCCCCCTGGCAAAACAACGGGCAGCTTGCTCATTGATGAACTACACATCCCTTTCAAGTTGGGCATTGGCATTGGCCTCCCAAGGGCCCAGACAAAAACCCTCTGTGGCAAACTGAAACTCTCGCACACAAAGGTGGGTCGGAAAGCTTCTCGCGGTCTAACGGAGGCGAACCCGATTTGGCAAACGAGGAAGTCTTTGACCACTCCGGAAAGACCAGGACAGGGAAATGGTCGTCGTGCTTTCTCATCACCTCCAGTCCGTGTAGGACTGTCGTGCTGGTGACATACGGAGCGTAAGGCCGGCCTAAGAGCACGTAGTCCAGAAGACTTGGCCCCAATCCCTTGGAGGCGAAGGTGCTTCCCTCACCCTCGGCGGTAAGAGTATCGACAGCAGCAAGCTTGTGTTCAAGCACAAAAGCATGCATGAGCTCTCCGCGCTCGTCCTGTTCTTCAACGAAACCCGCGTCCCCCACCACGCTGGGGGTGATCGACCCCAAAGCACAAGTGCAGTCAACATGAGCAATGCCAAAGGGCCACTTCTCAGTCAGCGAGCCGAGGTCCCTCCAAAAGCCTTCACGCACGCCAAGGGGGTGCCGTCGGTGCGGGGCGTGAGCCACACAGATATTGCACATCACTCCAGGGTCGGTGCATTTGAGAATCAAAACTCTAGGCTCGGCGTGCAATACCGTGAACTGCTCTGCTTGGAAGAAGGCGTCTTTCCCTTTGACTTTCCCGTACGGAACACACAGGTCGACCCAGAGTTCCGTCCCAAGGTTATGCCCTTCGTAGCCCGAGAAGAACCGAAGATGGACCTTGCTTGAAGACCCTTTCAACGGCCGGTCGTTCCTACTCTCCTGGATGCCTACAAGGGCAACGCCGAGATCATGGAATTGTTCCTTGGCAACATTGGATATGTACAACCTCATGCTCGCTCGCAGGCCTCTTTGGTGCTCCTCGCGGGCACCCTGTGGGTTGTCAGTGGCAAGTCTGAACTGACCTTGAATCTTGAGCTCAGGGGTGGGTGGCCTTTGATGCAGTCTGTCCACATCTTCTTTCCGAACACTAAAGGAGGGCAATTGCCCCTCTAAGACCCCAGTCTCCCCTGAGAAGACTAGGGGAGGATAGGCATGGGCATCAGGCCCTCTCGCGAGTAGCCACTCCCACTGTCTACTGCGCTGATACTTGAATGCGCTGATCAGGCTCTCACGCGGATACTAGGAGGAGGCAACTTGTTTAAAGCCGTAGCCTTGGTAACATTATCTGACAAGGTATTCCAAACATGGCCTCGATGGGCTTTAACGTGTCGGAGGTCAAAATGGACTTGGGACCTAGCGAAAACAAAAACGGCTTCGATGAAGGAGGATAGATGTCGATCCACCGCTGGTACCGAAGAGCCATTTGCCGCGCCAAGCTCATCCTACCCCTCCTTCTCCTCCTCCTTCTCCCTCCTCCTAGTCCTTCTCCTCCTCCCCTTCCCCCTCATCCCCCTCCTCCCCGTCCTCGTTCTCCTCTTCCTCCTCCTCCTCCTCCTCCTCCCTCCTCCTCGTCCTCGTCCTTGTCCTTTTCCTCCTCCCCCTCCTCCTCCCCCTCCTCCTCGTCCTCGTCCTCCTCCTCTTCCTCCTCCTCCTCCTCATCATCATCATCATCATCCTCCCCCTCATCGTCCTCCTCCTCCTCCTCAACCTCCTCCCTCCTCTTCCTTCCTCCCTCCCCGCCTCCTCCTCCCCCTCCTCCTTTTCCTCCTCCTCCTCCTCCACCCCGCCTCCTCCTCCTTCTCCTCCTCCTCCTCCTCCTCTTTCTCCTCCTCCTCCCCCTCCTCCCAGTCCAGGGCCTTCCCAAGGCGATCTCAAGGGGGGAAGAAGAAGAAGAAGAAGAAGAAGAAACGCTGCGTTACGACTCGGTAGCGAGGGTAATAAGCAAGGGATGCGTCGATGCCTCTACGGAGCAGTTCTCTTGTGGGGAGCACCTGCTCCTGGCATGCGGAAGGTGAAACAGCTAGGACCAACATTACCTCAAGCTTCAAATCCCAGGTCGCCTCCTCCAGGACGCACCAAACTGGGATGGTTGCGGGGATGCATGCACTGAGGTGTGGCGTCGTCGGGCGATTCGGGCAGCTAGAGGGCAGGAGAGACACCCTAATGATAAGCACACCGACAGGCGAAGACCTTTTTACTAAACGCACCTCAAGAAGGAATTGAGCAGGGCAGGCCTGTTCTGTAACCGCCCAGGGCTGTTTAACAAACGCCACTTATGGGGGAAGGGGGGTGTTTTCCTCCATTGAGAACCGCCCACCAGTTCAAAAGCCCCCTTGTCGAGGACCCAAGGGATGGTGGCAGGACAGCCGAAGGCCACCAGATAACCTTCAGATGCAAAACAAAACTTTTGGTGGGAAAAAGCACACACACAAACTCCCTTTGCCCCTTCATATGTATTCCCCTGTCCCTCGGTGCGCGTGCAGGAACGTCTCGCGTGGGACGCGTGCCCAGCGCGCTCTAAGAACCCCCCGCGTGAGATGGATAGGATGTCGCCCCAGCGACACCCAAATAGCAGCAGCCACGGAGGAGACGCCGAATCATTTTGTGGATAATTCCGGAGCCCTCTGGATCGATCCGGCTCACGAAGGTACCGCCGAAGCCTCACAAGAGGCGGCGCACTCGTAGAGCTCTGGCCCACCCCTCTGCACATTCGCTGCACCGGCACCCCGCTCGTCTGGTCCGCAGGCGCGACCTAGGTCGTTATAGATAGAAGAGGAAAAACTTCACAAAAGAACGGTCGACGCTGCACACGGATTTCATGGATCGGTGCCAGACCCCCTCCCTTGCGCGCAGAGCGCGGCAAGGGCGGCGCCAAAGGCGCCACCGCGGAGTTCCACCGCAGATCCAAGAGATCCGTGCGAAGCTCCGAGCATGTATGTGTATGCAAATATTGTTTGACCAGTAATATTATGCTTTAATATGAGTGTTATCATGATTACTACTGTGAATGATTCCCCATATCCCATATCCTAAGGGTAAGGTTATTGCTATTACTTTGACCGCGCGGAAAACGAGAGAACACCTCCCACCCTCAGGTCATCATTTTCTGACTCACTCACATGTAGGGTCACTCAGATTCAGACTCACTCATATTCAGATGCACTCGCTCTTAGATTCCTGATACTCATGTTTCTCATGCTCGGCATCACTCATACGCAGACTCACTCACACTGCTGGTACTTCCGCGCTCAGACTCTCTCTCTCTCTCTCTCTCTCTCTCTCTCTCTCTCTCACACACAACACACACACACACGTTGCGAGGATGTCTCAACCGAGGCGCTGGTTTCAGTACTCCCAAAGAGGGGGCGCCAGGGGGTCTCACGGGCCCGTTCGCGCCCAGATTGGGGGGATGTCTCAGGCGGTTTGCCTGTTTGGGTGCTCAACATCCTTCTCTTTCGGAGCAGTTTCCGATGATGTCTCAGGCGAGGCGCTAGTTTCAGCACTTCCAAAGGGAGCCGCCAGGGGATATATCACGGGCCTGGTCGCGCCAAGATTGGGGGACTGTCCCAGGCGGTTTGCTCGCTTGGGTGCTCAGCATCTTTCTCTTTCGGAGCAGTTTCCGAGGATGTCTCAGGCGAGGCGCTGGTTTCAGCCCTTCCAAAGGGAGCCGCCAGGAGGTATATCACAGGCCCGGTCGCCCCCAGATTGGGGGAATGTCTCAGGCGGTTTGCCTGTTTGGGTGCTCAACATCGTTCTCTTTCGGAGCAGTTTCCGAGGATGTCTCAGGCGAGGCGCTGGTTCCAGCACTTTCAAGGGGGGGGGGGGGCGTCAGGGGTATATCACGGGCCCGTTCGCGTCCAGATTGGGGGGCTTGTTTTCAGCACTACCAAAGGGGGCCGCCAGGGAGTATCTCACGGGTCCGTTCGCGCCCAGATTGCGGGGTGGGCCTCAGGCGGTTTGCCTGTTCGGGTGCTCAACAGCCTTCTCTTTCGGAGCAGTTTCCGAGGATGTCTCAGGCGAGGTCGTCAGGGGGTATCTCACGGGCCCGTTCGCGCCTAGATTGGGGGGATGTCTCAGGCGGTTTGCCTGTTTGGGTGTTCAACGCCCTTCTCTTTCGGAGCAGTTTGCGAGGATGTTTCAGGCGAGGTGCTGGTTTCAGCACTTCCAAAGGGGGGGCGCCAGGGGATATATCACGGGCCTGTTCGCGCCCAGATTGCGGGGATGTCTCAAGCGGTTTGCCTGTTTGGGTGCTCAACATCCTTCTCTTTCGGAGCAGCTTCTGAGGATGTCTCGGACGAGGCGCTGTCTTCAGCACTACCAAGGGGGGCCGCCAGGGAGTATCTCACGGGTCCTTTCGCGCCCAGATTGCGGGGGGGGCCTCAGGTGGTTTGCCTGTTTGGGTGCTCAACAGCCTTCTCTTTCGGAGCAGATTCTGAGGATAACTCAGGCGAGGTGCTGGTTGCGGCACTCCCAAGAAGGGTCGTCAGGGGGTATCTCACGGGCCCGTTCGCGCCCAGATTGGGGGGATGTCTCAGGCGGTTTGTCTGGTTGGGCGCTGAACATCCTTCTCTTTCGAAGCAGGTTCCGAGGATGTCTCAACCGAGGCGCTGGTTTCAGCACTTCCAAAGGGAGCCGCCAGGGGGTATATCACAGGCCCGGTCGCGCCCAAATTGCGGGAATGTCTCAGGCGGTTTGCCTGTTTGGGTGCTCAGCATCCTTCTCTTCCGGAGCAGTTTTTGGCGCCCTGATAGGTGTTCAGAGGAAAAGAAGGAGAAAGAGGAGGATGACAATAAGAAGGAGGAGGAGGAAAGAAGGAAGAAGCAACTAGCTTAAGTCGTCGTAGTCGTCGGCGTCTCTCTCCGCTTCGTCTTTCACCTGATTTCGCTGACACTCAGAATTTGAAAGGGACAATGCCTTCTACCGAAGCGTGCCATCACTATGATATGCACATATGGGGATCTCCGCGTCGAGTAATCACTATTACGATCAGCATGCATCGTACTACTACTACTACTACTACTACTGCTACTACTACTACTACTACTACTACTACTACTACTACTACTACTACTACTACTACTACTACGACTACGACTACGACTACGACTACGACTACGACTACGACTACGACTACTACTACTACTACTACTACTACCACTACTACTACTACTACTACTACTACTACTACTACTACTACTACTACTACTACTACTACTACTACTACTACTACTACTATTACTAGTGTTCATGCTATTCGTATACATATTAAAATTCGGATTATCATTCTTATTACTACTACTCGTCCTCTTCTTGGAAGATGCTTTCTGGAACTCCTGCGGAAGTCTGGAACTCCCGCCGGACTCTCTCGGGATCGGGGTCTGGAACTTAACATAGGGAAAACGGGTCCTGCGGGAAACGGGCACTGGACCCTGGAGCCTTCCCCAAGGACGAGATCTTCATCCTGAGTCGTCTTCTGACAGTCCTAGGACACGCGGAGGGCCCCGAGAACTCGAAAACCGTGAAAAACCTCAGGACCCGTTTCCCTCAGGACCCGCTCCCCCCATGGCGAGGAACTCCCGCGGGGCTCTCGAGCGGCTTTCTGCCCGTCGATGCCCGCGGTGTTTCCCCCCGAGCTGCTGCGCGCCACGCCCCCCCGTGCGGGCCATCACCTCGGATGACTGTCGCAAGGGCGACCAGTCATGGAAGATCCGCCACCGCGCTTGCAGCATAAGATACCGCAGATATATCGTATATCGTATACCGTATACCGTCAAGAAGCATAAGAGCTCATCAAGAAGCGTAATGGCAAGATCACCGTCTTCTAGAACAGCCAGGCTTACATCGTCAGTGGATTCCCCACACCGTGCTTGCACTTATGGTCTCTTACCTCTCCTATCAGGAACTGGGCCTGTCTGCCGGTCGGGCGGCAATGTTGCCACAGTCGCCGCCCCGTCGCCGCCTCGTCGCCGCGCAAAACAGATATTCGCTTTCCGAACAAAAAATGCCCCCCAGAAATATCGGTCCCACACCCCGCAGTTGTCGTACGAATCAGCCTCACCATGCATTTTTAATATGAACTCGGACCCCTGCAGCGTGTGCGAGACGCTGTTGTCGTCTTCGTCGCCAGTCACAAGGAAATCTATGAACGAAGACGAACGTCGTAGTCAAGTCGATTCCCTCCTTTCTTCCCTCCCTGGCGGTGGGGGGGTAGGCGGGGGTAGGGGGGGCCGGGGGTACGGGGGGAGGGTCCCGGGTCAGATTATTTGTCTGGCTACTATTGCAAAGACGACTTGAGGCGTCCCGACGCATCGAGCCCCCAAGATGCGCTCAGCCGTGTGGCTAGTGTTGTGACCAAGTCCCTGCTTCGTTGGCCTTCCGTGAGGGCGGGGTACATATACCCGACCCCCGCTGGGGCCACAGAAACCGAACAATGTTGGACCCTTGTTTCGAGACCTGGCATGCATCCTCGAAGGAGCCCTGCGAAAAACCCAACGACTCGTCACGCCCCGATGCTGCCCTCCCGTGCCCTCCCTCCGCCTGCCATCCTTCGCTAGCTCCCCCCTGCTGCTTGCTGGGGGGGGGGTCTGCGGGCCCGCCCGGAACGGCGCTCCCAGAATGCCAGCCACGAGATCGAGTTATTGTGGCCCCGCGGGGTGGGGTATAAATGTACCACGGACAGAGCCCGACTCGATACCCAACCCCAGGATATACCCCACCCGCGAGAGGAGAATCTGAAGGCGGCGCGGCCGCTGGAGGTCCGGCGTGGACTGCTCCACCCAGAGCGCCCCAGCACTCCGAAGGCCTCGGGCAGACTTGGGAGAATGCGGTGTCGGTTCCCGTTTTGCGCCATGCACTTTGTCATGCGATGTGCGAGGGCACATTCGGCGCACCTCGTCCTCCAAAACCGCATGGAAGAGAAGTGGCCAGGCAAAAAGTGGTCCCGAATACAAAGCCTGCGGAAGGCGGGTCCGTGACCCCTCCCCCCCACCCCCCAATCCCCACGGCCCTCCCAACCCCCGCGCCCGCCCGAGCGCGGTGGCGGAATCGCGCGGCAGCGCAGCTGGATACGAACGGGCCAACCGGAAATCCCGCCAGCACCGCTCCACGGAGCAATGCCAGGGCACTGGATGTGCTGAATCGCACCCCCACCGACGCTCCTCCCACCACGGGGCGCATGGACCGCAAGGCACGGCTCTGCCTTGGCCTGCTGGTTCGCGCCCACATTTGAGAACGGGCGTGCGACCTCTTACCGCCGCGTACGCCTCCTACCAGACTTCTCACTGTGTCGAGGGCTGGCGGGCGCGCCCCTCACTGGACGAAATCCACACCACCGCCAATCCACAAGCGAGAAGAAACTACTTATTCCGTCTGGAGCGCAGCAGCCTCAAATGACCGCACGGCCAAAAGAGCACGTCCCTGCTGGCCTGCTGAAGCTGCAGCAGGGGAGACAGTGGTGAGAGAAGCAGAAAGAGTAATTAGGATGAGGAGCGAAAGGAGCAGACGGAAGAGGCGGGAGGAGCATCAAGAAGAGCGACCTGGAGCAGGAGGGAGGGAGTCGGGTTCGAAGTGTCCCTGGCCAAAGAGATACCCAGGATTTCAAATTGGGCACCCCCGGCCTCCAGAACACCCCTCACGAGAAGCCACAGGGCCCCAGCGGCTCCCAAATGAAGCGAAAAGCTGGGGGCACCCTGGGCCAGGGACGCATTTAGCAGCCCCGGAGGGAGGTCGGACAGGCGAAGGAAAGATCCGAAAGGCGCAGCACCGCGAACAGGCTGGCCAGCGGTCAGCCAGGCACTAGCCGCACAGCACGCTGCACGAAAGAGTCGTGTGCAGGAGGACGCCAGCTATACATCTGCCCCGACCTTGGCCGAGGCAATCCTGAGCCCAAGGACCCATACACACGCAATAGGCATGGAAAACGCTCACACCGATCCCAAGCCCGGGATCCTCCTGGCCAGGATCGGTGCCCGCGTCTGGATGGCCCCCGCCCCTCTGTGAGGCCAAAACTTCCAGCAGCCTCGAGGTCAGCCGGTGGTGTGGCGCACCCAGCTCCTGCGGCAGCGAGCCCAGGGGGGAAGTGAGAAGGAGGAGGCCTCCTCAGAAGGCTCGGAGGCCCTCGGGCCTTCTGAAAAGTGCTCTGAGCCTTCCCCAGGAGACGCAGAGAACTGCTCAGAGGGCGCGAGGGCCTCTGTCAGGCCCCGCCGGCCTCCGAGAGGGCCTGCCCCTCCTCGCCTCCGACCCCCGGGCGCACCGCCGACTCCTGTTCCAGCTCAGCCTCTTGCTCGACTGCTGGCCGGCGCTCACGACGTTCGGGGCCGGGTTCAAGCTCGGCGGGCTCAGCTGCCTCTCTGGACGCCCGAAATGGGTACGGAAAGAATGGGCACGATGCCCAACAACAAATGCTGCCCCAAACCAAGAGCGGCCGCTGTTGGGCAGGCGGCCTTCTGCCTCGAATGGACACAGGCCGCGGCGGCGCGGACAGCGAGTCCTGTTCAAAAGGAACAGGAGCTGCTGTTGGGCATTGTACCCATCTAACAGGGGATATGTCGACCCCTATCCCAGGCTTCGTGGGGTTTCCGAATGGACCAGAAATTTGGGGCCTAACCCTGGGATATACGATGGGGGGGATGTCCATCCTCGATAGGGGTGCGTCCGAATAGCCCCCTTGGGGTGCATCCCAAGGTTTTCCCATTTTTCTGAGCGGCCAAACTTTTCGGGCGAAACTCGGGGATTGGGGGAGAAACATCGCCTGCGAGTACCCATTTCGGGCGTCCAGAGCCTCGTCGGCAAGTTCAGGTTCGGGTTCGAGTTCGGCGGGCTCGCCTGCCCGGCCCCCCGAGCCCCACGGGCCGTCCCGCCTACCCAGCGCCGGCTCCCCCAGCTCGGGATGTGCGTCCCTGCGCTGACCTCTTCGTCCACGCTCCTCTTCCTCCTCCTCCTCCTCCTCCTCCTCCTCCTCCTCCTCCTCCACCCCTCCTCCCCTCCCCCCCTCCTCCTCCTTACCCTCCCTTTCCATCTCTTGCCCCCATAAACACTTATTTCCTGTCGCACCCCCAGACGTGTCGATAGGGCGGGCCAGGCGTTTCGCCTGAAACTTCCTATGATCATGGAGCCTGAAGTGCCCAACAGCTTCGAGGATGGAGGTCGGGTCCATTTCAACATGTGGCTCTCGCACCAGTGCCGCACATATTCCTCTTGAGTATTTGCAGCAGCTTCAAGGGTGGGATGCTGGTGGTCTTCAAAATGTGGCTCTCGCTTTGGCGCCGCGCACACTTGTTCCAAAATATTGCAACCGCTTCAAGGATTCGTACGGTTGAAGACCCAAGGTTGTGTTTTCATGAAGCTTCGGATTGCCAAGACGCAGAAGTCACGTTGATTCGCGGTGTTGATTCCCAGGGGTGGCTTCCGGCACGAGTTTGGATTGTCAGGTCGCAGCAGTAACGGTGATTCGCGGTGTTGAAGTCCCAGGAATGGTGGACTGGCACGATTGAAGATTATTAAAACTGTTGTCTTTCGATGGGGCCCTTGCCGCAATGAAAATTCTGTAGGGACCCACGAGGAAGATTGGAAGGAGGGTTTATTGTAACATCGTTCATGCACCTTGGGCTAACACTGAACCCAGGTCCCCCCCTCCTCCTTCTCCTCCTCCTCCTGCTCCTCCTCCTTCTCGTCCCTTTCCTCCTTCTACTCCTGTTCCTGCTCTACGTCCTCCTCCTCCTCCATCCTTTTTCCTTATCAAGAACTCCTCACTGTCGCACCCCGAGGCGTGTCGGTAGGGCGGGCCCGGCGTTTCGCCTGAGATTGCCGCACCACTCAAATCTGTATGCAGAATAGTTGTAAAAGCTTCACGGATGGCGGGCGGGCCGATTTCAAAATGTGGCTCGATTTAGCGCCGCGCACATTCGTTCAACTGGTCCAAGAGCTTTGCGGATGGACGGCGGGTCATTTTACAAAATGCGGCTCTCGCCTTAGCCCCGCGCACATTCGTCTTTAACGGATGCAAGAGCTTCACGGAAGGACGGAGGATCGTTTTCAAAATGTGTCTCTCGCACTGGCGCCGCGCACATTCATTTTCAAACATTGCACGAGCTTCACGGATGGAGGGCCAGCCGTTTTCAAAATGAAATTCTCGCCTTCGCGTCGCGCACATTCGCCTTAACGCTGAAAAATCAAAAAAGGTAGAGGGTGGGCGGTTTCAGCGGTTTCCAACATGTGGTTCTCGCCGAAGCGCCGCACATACCCGTCTTCAAACACTGCAGCAAATCAACAAATGGACGTCAATTCCTTCTCAACATGCGGCTCTCTCAATGGCGCCGCGTACATGCGTCGTAAAAGGTCAAAGAAGTTTCAAGGGTTCTCATGGTTGACGTCCTGAAAACGGTGTTTTGGAACGATGTCGGACCGCTAGAGCACAGCATTTCCGTTGATTCGCGCGCTTCAGTCCCAGAACTGGTGTTTTGGCACAATTCAGGATCGTCAAGACGATTCGCGGCGTTGAAATACCAAGCAAGGTGTTCTGACACAGTTCCAAATTTTCAACCCACGGGGCACGCGTCTCAGTGAAAGTGAAGCCCTGCTGGGGCCTGACAAGAGGGAGCTTGAAAAGCGGGTTTCTTGCAACATCGCTGCAACATCGCTGATGAGTCTTAGGTTTCCACTGGTCATCCTCCTTCTCCTCCTCCTCCTCCTTCCTGTCCGCCGGCGACCCTGGCGGCCCTCGCCTGGATCGCCGCCCGCGCGGGGGGCGGGCTCGTCCCCCGGGGGAACGGGCTGACGCGGGCCCCCTGTGGCCCGCGACGCGCGCCCGCAGGGTGCGGCGCCCGCCGCCTGCACTGAGGGCGCGGCGGGTGCAACGTGCGGGGGCCCGTCTGCTGTCGCCCCAGACCCCCGACGTCGTGATGTTTTCGGACCCCTCCCCCAGGACCGGTTTTTCATCCTGAATCGATTCTTGACGGTCCCGAGGCCAGGTAAAGGCCCCCGAGAAGCCGACAATACCGAAATATTTTCCTTCGTGATTCTTTTAACAACGCAATGGGGGTCTGGGGTAATGGCCCCTGGCCCCCAACCCCGTGCGCCGCGCAGCGTTTCCTGTGCGGCCCACGCTGCCGTGGGATGTTTTTGGCCCGCGGCGCAGAGGAGGAGGCAAGGGAGGGGGAGGAGGAAGAGGAGGAGGAGGAGGAGGAGGAGGAGGGGAGGAGGAAGAGGAGGAGGAGGAAGAGGAGGAGGAGAAGGAGGGGGAGGAGGAGGAGGAGGAGGAGGAGGAGGAGGAGGAGGAGGAGGAGGAGGAGGAGGAGGAGGAGGAGGAGGAGGAGGAGGAACGCGCGCGATAAAGGGGGTAGGCGGGCCAGCAGCTACAGCAGCGAGAGGGGAAGTCCGGGTACTCCGCGCCGCCGTACTACCTGAGCGCTGAGCTACCCTAAGAAGGGTGCCAGCCGAGCGCAACGCCTCTTCAGTTGCTTGAGGCGGGCGCGCATCCGATTTTTCACCGGTAGCCGCGAGCGCCCCCCCCCCGGCAGACCAGCATCGGACGAACAGGCAACTAGCTACCATATGGGGCACTGCGCAGCAAAGAAGTCGGGCCAGCGCGCACGGCCCCCAGCAGCCCAGCCTCGGACGAACCGGCAAGTGGCTGCCAGGGCGCTGCGGAACTACAGAGAAGCCAGGCTACCTGAGCGCTGAGCTACCCTAAGAAGGGTGCCAGCCGAGCGCAACGCCTCTTCAGTTGCTTGAGGCGGGCGCGCAAGCGCGGCGGGCCGAGCTGCGCTGGCCACTCCAACAACGACTATGCTGTGCAGAGACCGCGACTCGTGGCACACGGCGGCCAGCCGCGCTCGGCCCAATCGGTCGATCGCAGAGGTCGGCAGTCGTCGCGACGAGTGGCGACGAGAGTGATAAACGTGAGATATCATATCAATATAAAGCCCACTACTAGTACCCACCGGTCGGAAGAAGTAGGTAGAAACATGAAGTAGGAAGGCGGAAGAAGTAGATTGCATTCGGGGCCGCCCAAAAAAACAACAGCAACAGCAATTACAAGAAGTAGATTGCAAATTTCCGGGCCCGGTCTCAGCGGCGCGCAGTAGCGCTAGGTCGCTTGGCTCCTCGGATGGCCCCATTCCTTGGCTGGTTTCGGTTGTTCTGGCTTGTTTTCGTTTGTCCGTCGATCGCAGTGGCAGCCTTTCGGTCGCTCGGCCCTTCGGCTGGCCAAATGCGTTGGTTTTGTTTGTTTCTGTTTGTTTTCGCTTGTCCGTCGGCTGCACTGGTCGCCCCAGGCCCGCCCGCGGCCTTTCGGTCGCTCGGCCCCTCGGCTGGCCAAATGCATGGTTTTGTTTGTTTTTGTTTGTTTTCGCTTGTCCGTCGGCTGCACTGGCCGCCCCAGGCCCGCCCGCAGCCGTTCGGTCGCTCGGCCCCTCGGCTGGCCGAATTCACTGGTTTTGTTTGATTCTGTTTGTTTTCGCTTGTCCGTCGGCTGCACTGGTCGCCCTGCGCACGCCCGCCGCCCCGCGGTCGCTTGGCCCCTCGGCTGGCCCCATTCCTTGGTTTTGTTTGTTTTTGTTTGTGTTCGCTTGTCCGTCGGCTGCACTGGTCGCCCCAGGCCCGCCCGCCGCCCCGCGGTCGCTCGGCCCCTCGGCTGGCCCCATTCCTTGGCGTTCTTTGTTCCTGTTTGTTTTCGCTTGTCCGTCGGCTGCACTGGTCGTCTCAGGCCCGCCCGCCGCCGTTCGGTCGCTCGGCCCCTCAGCTGGCCCAATTCCCTGATGTTGTTTGTTTTTGTTTGTTTTCGCTTGTCCGTCGGCTGCACTGGACGCCCCAGGCTCGCCCGCCGCCTTTCGGTCACTCGGCCCCTCGGCTGGCCCCACTCCCTGGCTTTCTTTGTTTCTGTTTGTTTTCGCTTGTCCGTCGGCTGCACCGGTCGCCTCAGGCTCGCCCGCCGCTCCGCGGTCGCTCGGCCCCTCGGCTGGCCAAATACATTGGTTTTGCTTGTTTTTGTTTGTTTTCGCTTGTCCGTCGGCTGCACTGGTCGCCCCAGGCTCGCCCGCCGCTGTTCTCTCGCTCGGCCCCTCGGCTGGCCCAATTCCCTGATGTTGTTTGTTGTTGTTCGTGTTCGCTTGTCCGTCAGCTGCGTTGGTCGCCCCAGCCTCGCCCGCCACCCCGCGGTCGCTCGGCCCCTCGGCTGGCCCCTTTCCACTGTTTCGTTTGTTTTTGTTTGTTTTCGCTTGTCCGTCGGCTGCGCTGGTCGCCCCAGGCTCGCCCGCCGCCCCGCGGGCGCTCGGCCCCTCGGCTGGCCAAATTCACTGGTTTTGTTTGTTTCTGCTTGTTTTCGCTTGTCCGTCGGCTGCACTGGTCGCCCCAGGTTCGTCCGCCGCCCCGCGGGCGCTCGGCCCATCGGCTGGCCCAATTCATTGGTGTTGTTTGTTTTTTGTTTGTTTTCGCTTGTCCGTCGGCTGCACTGGTCGCCCCAGGCCCGCCCGCCGCCCCGCGGTCGCTCGGCCCCTCGGCTGGCCCCATTCATTGGTCTTGTTTGTTTCGGCTTGTTTTCGCTTGTCCGTCGGCTGCGCTGGTCGCCCCAGGCCCGCCCGCCACCGTTCGGTCGCTCGGCCCCTCGGCTGGCCCAATTCACTGGTTTTGCTTGTTTTTGTTTGATTTCGCTCGTCCGTCGGCTGCACTGGTCGACCTGCGCACGCCCGCCGCCTTTCGGTCGCTCGGCCCCTCGGCTGGCCCCATTCCCTGGCTTTCTTTGTTTCTATTTGTTTTCGCTTGTCCGTCGGCTGCAGTGGTCGCCTCAAACTCGCCCGCCGCCCCGCGGTCGCTCGGCCCCTCGGCCG